TAGAGCATGACCTTATTGGTCATCCCGCCCCCCCCCACATCAATACGACAGAAGTTATCAATGGGCCAGTTTTGTACTACAAATAAGTAATGTGATGTCTAACGGAATTTCAGTATGTTTCTTGACAGAAAATTTTCGCTGCACAGAATTATTAATCTCTCGGTAAGTCCTCGTTCTCCGCAGTTCATTAGGAAACGTAACGGTATCAGTCGGTATCAGAATGACTCAAAATCATTTGTGACTTCGTCGACCCTGATTTGATTCCCTGTTGAATTGATCGAGGAAAAGTCACTTGTGCCCAGCATGCAAAATATCTGTTGTATTGGGTAAAATAGCGTAGAAGCCGCCGCAAAGGGTTAGCAGGTTGTCTTGGCCGCATCATGCTTTTTGCTGCTTTAATAACCCTCCTCCCATTTGTTCAGTGACCTAGTAATAAACTGTCATAGTGCAATACAATTCAGATTAGTATGTTTTTCCATCGGCTTTTACGTCTGCTTTATTGTTCACAATATATATTTGCAGTACAGTTCAGATTAGTATGTTTTTTCCATCGGCCTTTACGTCTGCTTTATTGTTCACAACGTATTTGGAATATCCTCACTCAGCTACCTGTACTATTGATTGCTTGGAATTTTATGATTTATTGTTATAAATGGGTCGTGCCAAACAGTCAGAATTTCACCCTTGCCGTACATGTGGCAAAAAGATCACTCTCAGACAATGTAAAATAATGATATATTGACTTGGACTTGCATATTAGCAGAACGTTCCTGATATGCAATAATTATTCAAATGATCTACTTGTCAAATAAATAATGCAAACTAGATTTTATCGTGATAATTGATAGCTCAGGTTTGTAACCGTTTGAACGTCGTTCTCCCTATTGCTTTTGTAATTGGGGGCTACTCGTGGTGCCTTTTATTTCGTAAATCTTATGGTGCAAGAGTGATCTAAATTATTGTGCGATTGGCCAGATGTGCCTTTTTTTAAGGCAGAGTCGATTTTAGGAGTTTGGCAAGCATAGTGTATAGTCTGTTGTTTCCATGCCACAGAGTCGTCCACATTTATTAACCTTATAAGGAAGAACGGCGAATGACCCTGACTCTCGGTTCTAAATTCGATGCTCTACCGCGACCGAACAACCCGGGCATGTCATGCATCAGACAAACGACCGGTGCCTTCCCGACAAACGTCATGCTGTTGGCAACCACGGGGAGATTATACGTATATATAATACCACATAAACAGGCAGATGGTAGGCAATAGAAATGATGGCTGGACGTCAAGATTCGATTGCTTAATCATTTTAATGGAATGAACACTCATATCACAAACTCTGTTCTTACTGAATTCAATGAATCTTCGAACACAGGTTGGGTCATTCATCTGTCGTCTTTCCAAACTACGTAAATGAGCGCTTGCGACTTTGTTGGAAGGAAAACGGCAAAGTACGTCTATATTTGCTACTTAGCTGGAAACTGTAGCCTTTAAGGACGATGCTCATGGCTG